GTCTCTAAAGGTCAGCTGCACCGTCATTGATTATTCTTAATTACGGTGTATTAAGTGTTTTTCGTCTGCAATCTCGGACGAACGGTAGTTTAATTACAGACTTTATGTATGAAAAGAAAAGAAAACTGCCGTAACAATATACAATAACATTTATGTTTTTAAAATTAACTTATTGTTAGCTGGAGAGAAGGTAACTCTGTAAAATCGGTGTATAATGACAATTGTTTATTAACCAATTCTATTCGAAATCAGACATCAATCAAAGATTAATTGATTTTTTATCTTTACTCATTTTAGTGTGTATCTCTTTAATTAAAATTTAATATGGTTTTGCAACACATTTTTGTTAAAACTGAGATCGAGTATCTTAGAATGCGTTGTAGATGGAGAAAAAAGATTTAATTAATCATGTTTAACTCTAATATGATGACCAAGTAACTTTATATTTGTAATATAATAGAACGTACTACTTTTTTCTAGCGATTGTTTTTAGCTTTTTGATTATGAATTCGATATCGTGTCGGTCGTCATGTCTGCTTTAAAGCTTCATTATTCACGTAATTCTTGGTTGTATTTTTCTCTTTTCTTTTCTCTCGATATTTACCTCATCTTATATTGCTTCATTAAGCGGTGTCTACAATAATATTTTAAGCCCTAAGCCTTAAGAAATTGACTAATCACAGTCGAGTATTCTCCTCATACTTGACTGTGATTGGTCAATTACTTATGGCTTAGGACTTAAAATCTCTATTGTAGACGCCGCTTTACCAAAATAATCAGGATTTGAAAAACTAAAGTAAAAAAAATCACAGCATTCTTAATAAATTTGTAATTTCCTGTGCCATTGCATCTTACCGCTTTTTCCATTGCTTTATAATTCAATGTCACTTGCGACATTTATTTCCCGAATGTCTCATTACATCGCGCAATTTGAGATTGCGATAAATCTCATCAAAGGTCATGGAAATTTGCAATCATGTTTTTTTTACAAAGAAAAAATTTCTATTTAAGAAAGATTGTATTTTTTCCATACCGGTTGACTAGTTTTATATATATAATATATTATATCTATATCTTTTTAATATATTATACATATAAAAGCAAAACAAATGATAATTAATTTAGTTGGTAAGAAAAATTATTATCAATGAAAAAATGGTAAAAAAGATAAAGTAAAATATCTCTCATAGAAAAATTCTAATTTTACTTAAAAGAAATGTTATATAAAAGTATCTTTTTTGTGATACAGTAAATTTTGACTTTTTATTACAATTTCATATTTTGCATTCGCGTGACATAATGAGGTGAGATATACAATAAGTGAGACGATTTTTCGTTATTTAGTAGTTATTTATATTGAATTTCTATATCTCATTTCATTATGTCGCGCAAATGAAAAATGAGGTTCTAATAAAAAATCAAAGTAGTACATCAAAGGTACTTTTATATAAAATTTAAAAACTATATATATATATAATTAGTCTGTGATATTCTACTCCTTTTGTCATTTCTTCATCGTTAATAAGTTGTCTTTGTTACCAATTAACTTAATTATCATTAAGTTTTGCTTTTGTGTATTTCTATATATTTGTATATTAAAAAATATAAATCAAATTTTATTTAAAAATATAAAATATGGCATTAAATAAAATTTTACACATTTGTACTATTTAATTATCAATCTATTAAATTGAATTTTTCACTCTTGATCATCGTAATTTAAATTGAATATTACTCTCTGATAGATTATTTTACAAAAATTTTATTTGTGAAGTTTAAAATTCTAAAACTTTAATTCTATAATAATTTACTATCTTAAGACGTTGATATAAGTGCATCATCACAATAGTGATAGTGTACGTATTGCAGTGATACAATAATCAAGAAATTTATTTTTTGGACAAAACCTTTGACGAACTAATTTTTGCGGAAAGTAGAAGAAGCAATATACATATATTACAAAAGTAAAATGGTTAAGATACAATTATTAAAAATATTAATTTTGAAAACCATTCACACGAAATAAAACTTTGTAACATATATAAATCTATTATCTTCATATAATTCAATTCAATAATAATAAGTCCACTTTTTATTAAAAATGAATTCCCCCATCTTCAAGAAGCATCAATGGCATTTCATAGTGTCAAAGTTTTAAAAATGCTTTTCTTTCTCTAGACAGAAATTTTACTTTGAATAAAAGCGTTAGAACATATTATGTATAATCGTTCATAAGAGACTTGTGTTTCTTTAATTGCACAGTATATTAACCCTCGAGATGAAAAATGACTTCTTCTTATTTGTGAGGCTTATGATAATTTATTTTGTCTTTTATATATTCTGTGTCAATTATTTTTAGCATTACTTAGCATACATTTAGCATATATTTACCATATTATCATATATTGTATCATATATTCATATTTTATAATATGTTATTATATCTTATAAGAAAATGTATAATATGTTATAAAAAAATGATCATTTGGAATTTTGTAAAATTAAATAATCTCTTATCTCTAGTGTAATCACAAAATATGCATGTATGCATACAATATTACTTAAAATATAGTGTAAGTTTGCAAAATATAATATCTAATATCTGCATATAAATCCATATTGAGATAAGCAGCTTGTCTCGTATATCCGTTCCTTTCACGTCATATTTCCACACGTTAAAAAAAAAAAATGCTTTTGCTTTCTTCCTTTATAACTGCTTAACACATATCAAGAGAACATATTTTTGCAATATTGTACTTTTCAAAACAAAATAATTATTTTATAAATTTATACAATTTTATTTAAGAGAAGACTCTTTTTTTTCTATTATATCTTATGAGAAAATGTATAATATGTTATAAAAAAATGATCATTTGGAATTTTGTAAAATTAAATAATCTCTTATCTCTAGTGTAATCACAAAATATGCATGTATGCATACAATATTACTTAATATATAGTGTAGGTTTGCAAAATATAATACCTAATATCTGCATATAAATTCATATTGAGATAAGCAGCTTGTCTCGTATATCCGTTCCTTTCACGTCATATTTCCACACGTATTTTTCATACGGAGTGGTT